TCAAGTACCTCCCCCCCGACCACCCTGTCTATATTCTCTACTCCTCTGGCACGACCGGTGCACCAAAACCTATTGTTCATGGAGCAATTGGGACCTTGATACAACATAAGAAAGAACATGTCCTTCACTGCGACATGCGGCCCGGTGACCGCCTGTTCTATTTCACAACCACCACATGGATGATGTGGCATTGGCTTGTTTCTGGCCTCGCTAGCGGCACTAGTATAGTTCTTTACGATGGATCTCCCTTCCGCCCACTTGACTCCGAAAACGGCAAAGGTGACATGGCCATGCCTCGTCTGATCGATGAACTCCAGATCACCCATTTTGGAACTTCTGCAAAGTACCTCTCTGTTCTAGAACAAAACTCCCTTAACCCCAGGGAGCACCCCTTCCGGCCTGTAACACTTAAGAGCTTGCGAGCTATTTTCAGCACTGGATCTTCCCTCGCTCCGTCCACATTTGACTTTGTTTATTCTTCAATCCACCCGGACATAATGCTTGGCTCCATAACTGGAGGAACAGACATTATCTCCCTCTTTGGTGCCTGCTGCCCCATCCTCCCCGTCACAAGGGGTGAAATTCAGTGCCGTGGCCTTGGAATGGCAGTCTCTGTCTTTGACTACGCCGGAAACGACATTGGTGTATCCGGTGAGGCCGGAGATCTCGTTTGTCTTAAACCCTTCCCATCTCAGCCAGTCATGTTCTGGCCTCCGGGTCCAGTTGGCGCTGAGAAGTACCGAGCAAGCTATTTTGACACCTTTGGCCCTAAAATATGGCATCATGGTGACTTTGTCCGTATAAACCCCAAGACTGGTGGATTGGCGATGCTGGGACGGAGCGATGGGGTGTTAAAGCCTGCTGGTGTCCGTTTCGGAAGCGCAGAGATCTACAATGTCATACTCAAGCATTTCGCAGATGAGATTGAAGACTCCCTCTGTATCGGTCGGAGACGCGAAGGTATCGAAACAGATGAAACCGTCGTATTATTCGTGAAATTAATGGGTACAACACCAGCGGCCTCCGGCACCTCAACGCCTGTTATTGTTGAAGAGCCAAAAGCCATTTCACAGGATCTTATTACGCGCATACAAGCCGCTATCCGCAAGGAGCTGAGTGCCAGACATGTTCCAGCCATAGTCGACTCATGCCCTGAGATCCCGGTCACATCTAACGGCAAGAAAGTTGAGAATGCAGTCAAACAGATTCTCTGTGGGTTGAACATCAAGACTGGTGCCAGTGTTGCCAATGCCGCTTGCCTGGACTGGTACCGCAAATGGTCTAATGAACATTAGATTTTCCTTTTAGTTTGTCCTAGATTAGACGGGTATATACATACCGCTTCCGGTTTTATTAATATCAAAATTATGATGTGTTTATGTCTCCCGAGTTCATCATGATAACTTTAAGAGAGTGACGCTAGCTGGCGGTTAAGCCGATGCCAAGCCCTCAGTTTTTATCTGATCCAGCAACATCCAAAAAAAAAAACAGTTGTTCAATCGTCTCCTACATTCCCGGGACCACTACCCAACAACATACAGACAGAGGAAAAGCAGTTCGCCTTTCGCTATGCATCGACTGGCTCTCAGAGCAGGCAGGTCCAGGAAGCCTTCCATACTCCGTCTTGCCCCTAGAAGTTTTGCAACTGTTCGACAACCAGAGAACAAGGTATCCATCGCTAAATATTATAACCTGAAGGAACACATCTTTTTTTAACACATGGGTATGCTATAGGATCCTGTTGAACTGGACCAGATAACCACTCTCAGCAACGGTCTACGTGTTGCTACCGAATCTCTTCCGGGGCCTTTTGCCGGCGTTGGTGTCTACATTGACGCCGGATCGAGATACGAAAACAATGAGCTCCGTGGTGTCAGCCATATTGTCGATAGGCTCGCGTTCAAATCAACATCGAAACGCAATGCAGACCAAATGCTTGAATCTCTAGAGAGCCTCGGGGGAAACATACAATGTGCCTCGTCACGAGAATCCCTTATGTACCAATCCGCCAGCTTCAATTCGACTGTCCCTACAACCCTTGGCTTATTAGCGGAAACAATCCGAGACCCTCTAATCACAGAAGATGAGGTTTCTCAGCAATTAGCAGTTGCAGAATACGAAATCACAGAGCTTTGGGCAAAGCCGGAGATGATATTGCCTGAATTGGTGAATATGGCTGCTTATAAGGACAATACTCTGGGAAATCCCTTGCTTTGCCCACGGGAGAGGCTAGGGCAGATCACCAAGGTGACTGTGGATAAGTACAGGACAGCTTTTTTTAACCCGAATAAAATGGTTGTTGCCTTCGCGGGCGTCTCTCACACAGATGCTGTGAGGATGACAGAGCAGTATTTCGGCGACATGAAGAACCAGAGGTCACCGCTTCTAGCCCAATTCGGATCAGAGACATCATCTACCCACGGTGAAGAGGAGGTACCGACATTTCCAGCCTTCTCGCCTTCGTCCACCACCCCTACAGAGTCCCCAGATTCCTCAGCACCACATTCGCCTTCATTGACACCTCCTTCCTCTCCTTCTTCCCCAGGTCTCCTCTCCAGAGTTCCATTCTTCAAAAACCTATCTACCTCGGCGCCAAACCATGCAACAGTGTCCCCACTTAACCCGTCTCTTCTCCAGACAGATTTGATCGATGTCAGCAGGCCTTCATACTACACCGGAGGCTTCATGTCTCTCCCACGCATTCCTCCTCCAGCAAACCCGGCTATGCCTCGCCTCAGCCATATTCATCTGGCATTTGAAGCCCTCCCCATATCTTCTCCAGATATATACGCTCTAGCAACTCTTCAAACCCTTCTTGGCGGTGGTGGATCATTCTCAGCTGGTGGCCCCGGTAAAGGAATGTATTCGCGGCTTTATACCAATGTGCTGAACCAACACGGTTGGGTAGAAAGCTGCATGGCCTTCAATCTCAGCTATACGGATAGCGGCCTATTCGGAATATCAGCCTCATGCGTGCCTAATAGCATAGCTAACATGCTCGAAGTTATGTGCCGAGAACTTCAGGCTCTCACACTTGACTCTGGTTACTCTGGCCTCCAGATACAAGAAGTTAATCGTGCTAAGAATCAGCTTCGCTCATCATTGCTGATGAACTTGGAATCACGTATGGTGGAACTTGAAGACCTGGGACGACAAGTCCAAGTTCACGGCCGCAAGATTGGGGTCCAAGAGATGTGCAAGAAAATCGAAGCCCTCACAGTCGACGACCTACGACGCGTTGCTAAGCAGGTATTCGGTGGCTTAGTACAAAACCGCGGCCAAGGTACCGGTCGGCCTACCGTTGTCATCCAGGAAGGTGAAATGGAAGGCACTAAACTTGCACCCTTACAGTGGACTGAGATTCAACAAAGAATAGCCAAATGGGGTTTAGGCCGAGCATGATCACGACTGAGGTATATTTGAAAGCGATGCTCAAATGGATACCAGATCAATCGCTTCTACGTTTTTGGAATTAGAGAATTGTGTATTATTAAGATAGGTCGGATGGTGTAATACTAGCATTATGAATAAATATCTATATACTCAAGGCTTGACATAAACGCTTTAAAACGTTATCAATGTAGGTTAGCTAGCTACTGTACCCTTCTCATTACACTCATAAATCTGGAGCGCAGGTATTAATCCTACTGCCCTGACTCTGGGATATCAACTCTTGTACTCAAGAAAATAGCCATATCTTCTAGCTCCATCGGAGCGAACCAGTGTTCAAGCTCATCATAAAGCATCCATGTTACATCCCAACCAAGCTTTTCGAGCGTTTGCGCGGCAGCCTCTCCTAGATTTGGCGTGACGGTCTTGTCCATATTGCCATGAGCCAGCCAGATTGGAGTAGATAGAGCAGCTGTAGCTGCTTCTGCCGTAATAGGAGGTAAATCTAAAACTGACTGGCAAACAAAATTCATGGCTTGCAAGGCTCCCGCACGCCTTGATTCTTCATTCCCTACTTCTTGTTCCTCTTGGTCTCTTGGGATGAAGTCGGCGATTTGTTCTTTGAACGGTAGCCATCCACTCATACCCACCAGCCCACCCAAGGGAAGATGCTCGTCGTTTGCATAACTGAGTAGAACATGAAGTGCCTGCGCACAACCTTGGCTCAGACCTCCGATAATGACGTTTTTTGCACCAACGAGTTCCGCTTCGGATTTAATTATTGTTCGCAGGTACCTTGTCGATTCTCTTAGTCCTCCGTAAAGCAAATCATTATGCTCCTTGGCTGGAGAGCCAATTGGACCGCGGTCAAACCATTGAGGAAGATATAGGTCCCATTGGGCTGAATGCGTCGTCTTTGCAGACGGGAATATAAATTTAAGGCCCGGGAAGCGCTTGGGCAGGGTATTATCGGAGCTTGGAGCAGATAATACTGTTGTGATTATTTCTGCCCCGAACACACGGCCAACCCCGCCGCGACCGTGAAGAAGTATGAGGGTATGGGTATGCTTGCTTCGAGGAGGTATTACAGTCGGCTCTGGGAAAGGGATGGTATGCTCTATCGGCTCAGATTCTGTTGTTTGTGTGGCCATAATTTCTTGTCTTTTTGGAGGTGGTTGTGGAAAAAAGAGTAAGGGCTCCGTGATAATCAGAGAAAACAGCAGTTTAGTCCAATATAAGTGACAACTTCAGCTTTAGGCAAAAGCAGACAGGAACAAGAACAGGACTCTAACTTATCCCAATAGTTCCAAGATGAAGCTCGATTCATGTTTAATAAATGCTTCTTCTCGTGAGGTGCAGTGAAGCGCGCCCGAGCTTATCTTGAAGCTGATCAACGACATCTAAAATATTGATTACATAATTTGGCTCCAACAAGAAAAGTTTGGACGAACTTCGCTCTCGACATCCATGAAAAAGAATCAAAGACCAGCCATAAAAGCCTTCTACCAAACCAACATTGCATCTTGCTCCTTGGAACGAACCCCAAAGCTGAGATTTATTTTATACATCTTCGTTTACTTCATATTCACCCTCCGCTTCAATCCGTCACAATGGTCAAGCTCACCGAAGTCGAAGATGAACATTTCAAGGAAAAGCCTACGTCAACCAAGTCTGATGCCTTGTTATTGAGTGACGACGAGGATGAGGATTACACCGATACTGGTATGTTCTTATCTTCTTTTATCCCTTTATCAATCGTCATGGTTTTCTATGGTGCCGACATTTAATGCATTGCGAGGATACATCGCAACGCTCATTTGCCTTCAGGGAAAATACATCTGCTGAATATAAAAACAACATTTACTAATTTTGAACTGTTTCACACTAGAATCCGAGATTTCTACAGATTCATTTGATGACAATCTCGACAACGAAACGCTGTATGAAAGAATTTGCGCTTTACAAGACATTATCCCAGCCCAGTCCAGATACAAGATCAGCAATGCTTTCTCTTCCTTCTCTTCCTTTGCAAAATCAACCATTTCCTTCGGTGGATCCGCTTTGTGGATTGTAAGCACGAGTGCATTCTTGCTCGGTGTTCCATGGGCTCTTGCATTAGCTGAAGAGCAACAATACGTGCAGATGGAAAGGGAGCAAGGAATGATCAAAGGAGCCAATGAGGTACGCGTTTGCTCCCTTGACCTAGCCCTGAATCATTATGCAATGGCTAATCTGATTTTTCCATAGATGTTGACTCCTGGTGCTACAAGCGCTCTTACTGCCCCTGATTCGATTGCTGTGGAGGGAAAACCTGCCTTATAATCCACACGAAAATTCGAGATGAGCTACGCAGGCTAGTGCGAATAACAACATGTTACAGTCCTGGCGTGTCTAGTGGACAAAAATCACTATTGACTTGGCTTTGTATCAATTAGTGTGTCAATATTGTACACATGAATCATGCAATATTGATATCTACTAGGGGACTGCAACTACTGAAAATGTGACATGGGCTGGGTTCATGGTAGTGGGTGGCTACAAATGCATGTGAGGAAGTGACCCAAAAAAAATCTTACTTGGTTTTGGGATTTTTATTTTCGCGGTCAAGGATTGAACACCGTCCATGTCTTCCCATTTGTTTTGTTACTTTTGACGACACCTTTTGCTGATTTTCTCTTCTCCTTTAATATTTACACATGTACTTTACAATTGGTATCTAGTATCCATTTTCCTTTCTGTCGTGTATTTTATAACCATGAGAATTATGTATCAACTGTGATTGTATTCTCATTCGTTAGCCATGAAAATGAAGACATTTTGGTTATATTTTATTTTATTCCCTGTGGCTGTAGGGGCAACCTTGAAAGATAAAACGTCATTTCATCATTAGTTGAGCTACCCATAAGCAGCATCTATGAAGGGCTTATTCATGGATCTGAGATGCAAACCAATTATCTCGCTGCAAGTGTCAGCATCCGTACCTGAGTAAATTCCAGGCGACGGAAAACTCGATTCTGCTCCCACACCTGGACTAAGTATACAGCTAATATCGAGATGATGTCTATACAGGAGTCAGCGTGTTCAAGAACGCGGAAAAGCAAGGGAAAGGGGAATAGCCTACAGTTGAAGCTCGTGCAGTCTTCAAGTTGAGGTTGAAGTCTCTCCAGAGCCTGTCGACCTCTCCTGCCTGAACCATAGCATCGACAACCTCATTGGCATATTTTGTCCGCTTTTTCTGACTCCAATGCTCCCTTTTTAGGATTCCACTGTTCTCAAGAATACCAATTCTCTCCAAGTAGCCAACCACCCATTCATTGAGGTGGTAGCGCCAATGGATTAGAGTATGGGCCATGGATGCTTTTGATTTACAGTGTCTATCAAAGCATGAGAAATTAAAAATGCTAATAGCAGTCAATATACGGGACAGCTTTGGCTCACCTTCCAAGATAAAAATGTGTGTTCTCATTGGGTATCACGTTTCCCTCGCAGTCGACGTTTTCACGCTCCATAGTATCAGAGGCCTGGTCTTCACTGCTATCATCTCCAACAATAGACTCCAGTGTCTCCTGAATGTATGGAGGCCCATCAAATCGGATATCATAGGATGCCGGGTGTTTTGATCTATTGCATGCATCACATGGGTGACCCTCTGTAATTGGATAAGGGAGGACCACGATCCGCGGCCTTGCTTTGAGAGAGCCTATAAACCCCTTATTCCAGACTGACGATACAAACTGAGAGCCTGCCAAACCCGTCACTTCATCCTTCACTTTTCTAAATGCCATTTCATAAACGGCATCATCTCGACGAAAGGCAGGATTAATTTTGTTGTGAACCATCCATTCAACAACGTCCCTAAAATGATCCTTCAGTCTTTTGTATCGATGCCTAGTAAATTCAAATGGAACCTCAATCTCGTCAGCTGGGACACCCAATTCGCCTTCGTCATCCTCCAAAACAAAATCAGCATCGTATTGATCGAGATCCTCAGGAAGGGCAGGTTCCACATCACTATCAACGTCCATTTGTGAATCTTCCGATGAGGTAGTATCTTCGGAGTCCTCATTATCTTCCGATTCGTCTGGGCTATCGGGATTGTTATCGTTGGAACCTTTTTCGTTTCTCTCTGTCATTTTTGATTTATCTCCAGCACGCCGACGTTTAAGAAGTTCCAGTTGCCGTTGGCGTTCTGCTTTGGCTGTTGAAATACTAGGCGTGCCCCTTGTCCGGCTCTCAATTACGTCTAAGGGATCATTAGAATGTGCCAGCAAACGTAAAGGAGTACTTAGCATATTTGCAGAAGGAACTGAACCAGAAAAAAAAAAAATCCACTTGCGCATATCCCTGACATATACTTCTTAGCAGGGGGGCTTTCTTACTAGAAGGGCGAAGTATTTCAAGGTCTTCCTCCAGATCAATTTCATGCTGTTGCAGTTTACCGCTCTTTTGTACAAATCCATCAGGCACTGGGTCCTTTTCATCAGGGCCTCTGACTCTTTTGGCACGGGCCTTTAAGGCAAGCCTCCGTTGCCTGAGTGGGGAGGAGTGAATTATATCAGAGTCTGATTCAGAATAGTGTTTTATTTTGACCTGGTCACGGGTGACCGGTGCTTGAGGAATAACAACCTGTACAGTTGTCCTTCTACGCTTCGTAGGGGACACAATCTCATCACTCTCCCCAGAGCTAGATTTATTCATGTCCGGGTTTGTTCGCTTCCTTGTCTTTGGCTTAATGCTAGAAGGAGGGCGAATAGGATCTTCGTCAGATGAGACGAAGATAGACTGTTCTTCTGGTATTGTCCGGGGCGTAGTAGCAGCATTCTCCCCCTTTGGTGATGACTTCTCCGAGTGAAGATTCTGAGATCGCACACGACTTGGCTCCCCAGTCGGAGGTAACGAACTGACAGGAGCAAACGATAGGGTGGTTTGCCGTTTCCGAGACGGCCTGGCCCTGCCGGTCCTGCCCATTGTGAGAGCAGTGCGGCAAATATGATGTCGGATATCTGGTAACCAGGGTATCGTGATTGTCACCTGTAGCGAGAAGCTCCTCGCTACGCGCGCGTCTCATCCCACGAAAGCACGTGAGCCTTTGCTTTCCTTGACTGGCGCATGAGATGCCGCTTACCTAATCTCCTGCCGATCAATTACATAATACCGTACGGAGAACAGAGCGCTATTATTAGATACTATTATCATTATGTAAGCGTCGTCGTCTTCTTCCTACTTCAGATTCTCGATGAGCCTTGAGCCTTCAACGGCAGCTTTCATCGCATCGTCAGTTTGCTCGGAAAATTCAGGAATCTCCTTGAAAAATAAGTGGTATGAAAGCTCCCGGAAGCTCCTTATTCGGCTGTCAGGAGTGAGCGAACCTTACATGGCGCCATGACGTAACCCCAGCAGCTTCCAGCACCAAGGCTTGCAACGCCATCATAGTGGAGAAGTATCGACAGCTTGCAACAAAACAATATATGCAGACGGGGGTGAAAACAAGTTCCACAAGGATAATCCCCAGCGCCATTGGCGATTATTGGCCACCCAAACAGGATTGTTGATGTTGATCTGTCCGTGAAACGTTACCTCCGTGGCTAGATGGCAATCCGAAGGCGAAAACATAGCTGAAATTACGGCCAGGATGGAACGGCAAAGTCATGACGTCAAGGGAGGACCGAGATCAGGGATATATCCACCTCCCGTGCATTCCCTTCTCCTCGATAATCTCTTCGTATCGACAACGTATCGGGAATAGTGGATTTAGCTTGCCCCCTAAGGTGCGCAGTCAATTGATAAGTTCATCCCTGGTGTAATTCTTTTCCCTTTGACCGTCTTTAAAAGACGTCTTTTCCGGACTTGGGTGCGTCGATTGGATTTTAACCACAGTTTTTCATTCTTGTTGCCTAATACATAATATATTGGTGCTGCAGAGAATTCTACTATTCCTCGTCTAACAATTCTCGCTAGATGCACTGTTACTAGCCTCTCGCCATGCCTAGTAACAAAGCAGTAGTGAACACTCCGGTGAACCCGGAGGTAAGAGACAGGGTACGTCGAAAGATCGCTTTGCGACACTTGATGAAGGAGAATCTAATATGTCTTTAATAGGAAATCAACGAAAAGCTTCAGTATTATGGAATCTATTCAGGTTGGCCTCCTCGCAATATCGATCGAGGGTATATACCTGAATGAAGCAACAGTTTGCTAACATAGACACCGACTCGATTAGCTTTTGCCAATGGCAAAGTTCCTTCGGTATGGCCCTAAATTCAACTCCTTTTCAAGCATTACTCTTTATGGTTCCGTGTTGCTAATCACTTTCAATATAGAACAAGCAAATCGATGTTGCTTTAAACAGCCTTCTTGCTACGAAGTCCTTGGCCAATCCATCATCTGAACTTTCAACTGAAACTCGACAGATTATTGAAGATTTACGCCATGTAATAATCAGCGCGAGAAATCTTGTCCTCGTCAAGAACGATGGCAATATGATCCAAGAGTTCATCTGGGATGCAACAAACTTCAAAGGCCCGGGAGATATTCAAGGCCCTGATACTTCTGGTGAAAAAGCTGCCGCGAAACAAAATGCTCAGCAAACCGCAGCTGGCCTCAAGACTCTCGGGACTTTGCTCATCACCAACGGCCAATTCAGGAAGCTTTGTAAGTTCGGAAATCGCTCCACGATGTTTGCAGTCGCTAACATGGTCGCCTGATGCAGTGAAAGATGCAACCATCTTGGTACGGGACATGGCTAGTGATTCTGCCCAGAAAGCTGCCGGGGCCTTGAAGCCATCAGAGGAGGACTTAGCCCAGATTGACAGGCCTGCCGACGAAAACATGTGGCATGAGTCCCCCAACCTATCAAAGGATGCCCTTAAATCACGGTTCAAGAAAGAGAAATCAGAAAAGACCCAAGCAAATGTTGATACAGTCAATGGCTCTCATACCACCAATGGGGCTAATGGAGTCAACGGGGTCAATGGAGTTGATGGTGTTACCACCAGCCAGCAGGCTGGCACTTCAGGCACCGCTGATACCGCAGAGCTCAAAGATCAGGCTACTACGACCGCCAAGCAACGTTCAAAGGAAGCAGCCGAGCGGACCAAAAGATTCCTTGCTGAAAAAATGCCTCGAGAGCGGAGAGAGCAGACAATTTGGCGTATTAAGAAGATGATTGTTGAAATTCAAGGACACGCTGACTGTAAGTTTCAAGGTTAACTCTATATTTGGGTTGCCAACAGCCGTCTAACTTACTATATAGATCAAGAAGCTATCGAGACTCTCTTGTCGATCGCCGAGGGATACGCCCGACGCTCTAAGAGCCTATCCAAACAGGGGGCAGGAACGCTGAAAGGTGCAAGAGATCAATCGGATACTCGGAAATTAGATTCTAACCTGAAAGTATGTTAATAGGATATCTCACCGAACATAAAGATTCACTGACGCGGCTCAAGACTGTAATCGAACGATTTGCAAACTCTACCTCGACTGATGACCTGTTTGATGCCATCAAGAAATTCTACAAAAATGCGGAAAGCGATCCTCGACTAAGAGACTGGTTCCGAAACGTGGATACATTCATCAGGTATATATCTCTTAAAGGGCTCCCTTGGGGATTCACTATGAAGAAATATGAGTTAACATGACTATAGGAAATGTCTCAAAGAGCAGGGCTTCGTGTTGCGTGACGAATCTACTGCAGAGTGGAACAGGTTGTATGATGAGGGACGCTTTTTACTCACCAAACGCTACAAGAAGGACACCGATGAAGTCGTAGAGGAAGGGAAATTCCTAGCAAACCAGTTCGATGAAGATCCATTGAACAAGGAGTTCGGCCAATCCATGAAGAAATTCTTCGATCATCTCGGCCATGATGCTAGTGGAAATATTGTTTTCCAGAAGAATCTGTTGAAAGACTTTGCCAATACAGTCCTTCCAGGAACCTTGGCGAATCTTTCTTATATTCCTCTCCCTCGAATTGAAGTATCCGATCCAATGATTGATGTGGTATGTATACTTGAATTCAATAATACTGATGAGGTTCTTTTTTAATAACGTTTACTAACCTGGTTCAACAGGTTATTGAAAACTTAGCTGTTCAATGCGATAACCTGATGCCCAATATCATGGAATTCAGCAGTGACAATTATTGGAGATGGGGTAGAAAGAAGATTGGCAATCACAATGACAATAAGGCAAGTATTGTTATAGTCGCTCATTTAATATTTGCCTAGCTTCTAACCTTTGGTAATTATAGGCCATGATTTCTGCCACTGGAATCCAGACCGATTGGAGAGGTAAACAATCCATTTATGCTTTTGTAGAGCTAGCTCACTAACAGCTTTTGTTTAGATGTAAGCTACTACATCAAAAAGAAGAAGGGCTTCCCACACGTCTCAGATACAGGTGTGATGGATATCTTCTTGGGCGGCGACGGATTCAGCTTTAAGATCATGGGCTCTTCAGCGCAGAGCAAGGATAAACAACATTTCATCAAGGCTGATAAGGTCGTTGTCAACATCAAGAACCTGGATATCAGGCTGAAGAAATCTAAGCACAAGGTCCTCTTTACCTTGTTCAAACCCCTGCTTTTGTCAGTGGTTCGACCTGCCATCCAAAAGGTCCTGGAGCTGCAAATTCGACAATACTTCAGCAAGGCAGATAAGTTCGCTTATCAGGTCCACCAGGAAGCTCAGCGTACCATGGAGTTGTCACGGAACGATCCCGACGAGAAGAGCAATGCATATACTCATTACAGCAACGCGCTCAAGTCGCAGATGAAGGCCCGCAAACAAGAGGCCGAGGCCAAGAAGAAGCAAAAGCCTCCCAGAGACACCAAGGTGAACGTCTGCATCAGTCAATACGATTCTATATTCAAAGACGTCGTTCTCCCCAGTGGCATATCTGCCAAGGCAACGGAATATAGGGATCTTGCCGCAAGGGGTGAAAGATGGGAATCTCCTGTGTTTGGTATTGGCTCGGCTGCTCCCTCGACCGGACTTCCGCGACTTGATGCTGTCAAACGGAAATACAGAAACCGTGGTATGAGTGGAATGCAGCGACAGAACTTGCCTGTCGCTCAGTCCATGGGACCATCAACGTCTATGGCAGAGCCTACTCATGTCATGCCCTCCAAGATGACTGGCCTTGCCGACGGTTTGATGACCATTCCTGGAACCAACGCTCCAGTTTAAACAACTAAAACACTCCTATCAAAGACGTGGCGCGTGATATATCGATTACCCGTCACCATTACTAATACCATCTACTCTCCTATGTTTTCCTATGTTTTTCCTATGTTTTTCCTCTTGATTTGAGTTTTTATGTTCTGTTGATTTTGTTCGAATGATACCAATGTGAATTTCGGTTCCAACCAGGCTTTAGGGGAGGAGGTTTCAAGTGCCTGAAGATCTTATTTTCAGGTACCTGGATCGAACTTTGAGGCAGCTTTGGTGAGAGACATTGAAAGCCTGCGATTGGTAATTATTTAGTAGTAATTCGGGCTATCCCCGCTTTGTTAATATGTAATTCATTTTTCTTAATTTGGCCTGTTTGCCCGACCTTGTTTATCCTGACATCCCCATCTTTAGGCAACTCGAAAATGAGCCACAGGAGGAGAAGTAGTAGCTCGTGCAAGTAAGAAGCAGTGGTCCAGATATTCCCAAGGTTATGTTCCGGTCGACCCAAAACCATGCGGTCTTTAATAGTGTTAGGTTAATCCGAAATTATGCAGATCCCCTAATATAATAAAACAATATAATTATGCTTCAAAAAATCGACCCTCATCAATTACATGTCAATTTTGCTAGGGAAGACAAATGCTTGGAACTACTTCCCAGCACAGGGAATGAACACACGATACAATTTCATAAAAATATATATAGAACATCGAAAGTTCAATTGTCCTATGTAATACATCTTTGTTTTTAAAAGCTCGCAAATATGTATATGAAAGGAAGAGCAACAAACAGGTGAAGGAGACAGAAAACCAGCTGTCTCGCTAAACCAACCGAGAATGAAAAGATTGGACAAGAATAGGGATATTTCCCTCAAGAAAACTTGGAAAGTGGTAATTTGCCGGCTGGCAGTTACGTTTAACACTTGAGGTGGATAGCTATGAGTCAAAATTAGTCCAGAGCACAAGCATCTCGAAGGGCGATAAAGAGGAAACTTACCCATGGCGAAGAGAGCGTAGTTGTCGGCATTTCTCTTGGCTCTCTGGGAAGTGAGTCCAGTTGCACGATTGTAACCGTATCCAAGGTCCTTGCAGTATGGTGTGACAACACTTGGATTATGGGCTCCTTCGTGGATTACGGTCCCAACACGATCCTGACGATGGCACTTATTGTTGACGTGGGGCATTTGCCAAAAGAGGGGGCAGGGGTGAACCTCATTCTTAGCTGGAAAGGTGTAGGCAATGGTTCTGGGACCGCATCGGCCAGGACCATCGGAGCAGAACCACGTAACAGAGCTACCGTCCTTAGTGGCCGCTCTGGAAATTGAGCTAAGATGCTGGGAAACCTCCTTCCTGGTTCCAGGATCTCTGGCGCGGAAAAACTCAAAGACTTTCTCTGTGTTGTTTTGAGCAGCGGCTGCAGCTTCTTTGGCAACCTGTTGAGCGCCCTCAAGGGCGGCCCTCAGGTCCCTCTCCTTCCTCGGATTACAAATATCGAGGGGCCGTCGCTTGTCGAGGCTCTTGGAAAAGTAGTCGTCGAACGCTCTGGGGACCATGGCAGCCTTGCGGGCGTCGATCTCCATGTCAAGCTCGTTGGATTCGTAGTAAACGTGGTCTATGATAGTTGTTCCCCCATCCTCGGCAACAGGAATGGCGCCACGAGCAGCGAGTGTGTACTTGCCATCCCACTTCAAGTCGTGGACTGTGGCAATGTCGAAGAGGTGTTCCACACTATCTTTGGGGGCCAGACGAGTAAAGAGATCCTCAGTCAGATCGCTCAAGTCGTAACGGGGCAGCATGCCAAGGAACTCGGCCTCGTCACCTATGAGTAGTCAGTATAACACAGCCTAGTCTGTATAAAATTCAACGCCTATCTTACCACTCTCGTGGAATACCTCAACCTTGCTGGTTGGGTCCTCATCCAAAATGGTGTTGAAACTCAATAGGTGCAAAGGACGCTCCCCATTGTTGGTGACAATAGCCCTGACCATGGTGTGGCCAGCGGGAACGAGCCTGACACTAAGAGTTTGGTTGTGTGATGCCTCCTCAGATGCCGGGGTTGGGAGAGCGAGGGCTGGCGCCAGGAGGGCACCAACCGCAGCGAGTGCCGTGAAGAATTTCATTGTTGCAATTTGTAAAAGAATGACTTCGATCAAAGAATGAGTTAGATCAAAAAGGATTGGGTCAAAAAAAACGAGAGTAAGAAAGAAAAAATATGTATGTTTGAAAAAGGAAAGACAAAGGAGTGTACTAGTTCTCTAGGAACTATGAGTTTGGACTGTTTTGTTTGAGATAATAAAAGCCTGCTCTTGAGGTAGAAAAGAGTTCACCAGCTTCGTTCGATGATGATCTTATATATTGCCTCTCGAGCGGTCCCTCCTTAGGAGATGAACAATATCAAAGTCATCATCCTTTGGCGCGAGCAATGTTTATGGAGCCAGAATCGCTAGCTCTGCCGCGAGGAGCATCTTAAGGCCTGAGTCCTGTGCTTGGCTGGATATAGTGGATTAAGGGGGTTCATGGAACCTAAGCAGGAGCCATCAAATCATAGAAGGACACTCCATCTGAAGGCTATGGAGAGACCCCTTAAGCTCCACGGAGAATTCTATCTGGCCAATCTTATTAAGTAGGATTTGGCGTATAATAATAACATGCAGGAAGCAAGCCAAAGAAGACAAGCCTTTCAGCGTGTCTATTATTAAGGTATACCTTAGACGGATAAATCCACCTAGAGCCAAATGCAAAGATACAAAATAGGCTCGCCAAGTCTCGTTGTCCGGGTATTGAGAAAATCGGGGTCCGATGGAGAGATCTCAGTCGGAGGTGTCGATGTAAATATCCGCAGCGAATGAAAAGCTCAATTGGGGGTGCATCATAAGGCGGATTCGATACTGATCTCCATAGATGCCAAACACAATAATAGAGACTGACCTGACCGTTTAAGGAGACGCTGGCACCACACGTCCAGAGTCATCAAGTGTGGCACTTGTCGAGGGTTCAAGAGGCAACTTGCCTACCTGATGGTATAGACGTCAAAACTCAAGCGGCAGGCAAACATGGCCCCCCTCTTTAGGCATAAGCTTGACTTCACACTCTAACATCCTGCATTTTCCATGAAGGACAACTGCTCCATACGGAGAACTCCGTACGCTCGTTATTTTCCCTCTAGAAATTTTTTCTTGCGTACCCCTTCAGTTTGTCCGGCCAACCCTGGAACAGGAACTGTAATATGAAGCACCGATGATCTCTTTGATGCGGACGGAGCTCGTACCCAATCCCCAATGGTCAGTCCTATGACTGACTAATGAGCATCCTCCGTCGTAGACGCCAAAGAGGAAGCAACCAAAATTAAATATGGAGAGAGGAAGCTTGCCTCTTCTTGACCACCGCGCAAGATCTGGTTGCTTCAGACGCTAGCGTTTCTCTTCCTCGCTGTTTTCCCTGACGGTGCAGTGAGGTGGAGGAGGCATAATATCGGGTGAAAGGAGAATTTTAATGATGACAGTTTACCCTGACTTTCTTCTTAGTGCGGCTCTATTTCCCTCGCGCCAAATCGTCCAAGTCTGCATTCAAGTTAACTAGGTCACTGGTAGCGCAAAATACCATCTTTGCGGATATCCAATGTAGTGTAGACTTGTTACGTCTTAGCGGTTCAATGTTGCCAAAGGGTAACTATTAGCACGCTTGACATTATTATGCCGCCCACAAAAATGGGTGAACTGTTGTTGCCTAGTCCGCATTTCATTTCCTCAGGCAAGCCATGCAAAATTGATCCACTAAGTGAGAATGACCTGACGCTTGTTTGAGCTTCCGCAAGGCTTGTATTATTTTGCTCCTGAGGGAGTGCAGTCGAGCGCTGCGAGGAACCCATGGCTAAGCTCTTCACCAAGACGGGTAGATCAAACAACTATACAGCAGCAGTCATGGAGAGTTCCATCAACGGCATCAACCGAGTGAATTGGTTGAAGATCATGTCGAGCATATTTTCACTCTGCACATCTCTTTTGGGCGGGAGATCTTCACAAGAAAACTTTCCACTACCTGAAGAGCAGGAACGGTAGCAGGTATGACACGTATATCAGCCCACTCTAACCGGTGAAACAAAATGAAATTGCCTCTGCTGCAAGGTTCGTTGACGTAAGTACTTTAGCCCTTCTCCATGTCATGCCTGCCGTGCTTTGCATATATCCTTATGCACGGAGAAGAGAAATCTCCGAACAGGAATACTGTCTTTTTTTTTTGTCCGAGGGGCAACTTGCTTCTCTCTACCCCAAAGCCATCATGGTGGTATCCGTATTTAGGCGCTTCTGAGGGCCAAAATAGCGCCATCTGAGGAGACGCCGCCAATGAACTATATGGGGTATTCGTTTATAGCTCACAGACTCCGTCATGACCGTGGCTGGTCCTCCGCCACCGCTCTGCACAGCCTCTCATCCGCGTCAACTCGCCATTTCGCAAGTAATAATGGCAGAGCGGGCAGCGAAAAAAAGGCGGAAGATGGAGTATCCGGATATAAAATTAATCCTACCCAGGGGCCGGAGTAAGGCGTTGTCAACTTGTTTCACCCTCTGATACGCGGCCCACACATACTTAAGCCCGGAAGCCCTCTGCCCTTTCTTCGAATCAGAGGAAGAAAAGTCAAGGCAGGGTCAAGCCGGTGAAGTGGTTTGCGGTCCACACTGGGACCACCGAGCGGTCTGTTATGTGGCTTATCATTTGACCGGATTGCTGTCGTTGAATCAACCACCCCCTTGTTGCAGGGCTCCGTTCGGGCTTGCATGGCTCAGAGAGATGGGATGTCCTGGGAGAGTTTTCGGTCGTGCTGGGATGTCTGCCACCTCGATGCCTGCCGTCCTTAGCGAACTTACTGCTAGTGTGGCTGGCTTCTCTCGGCTGTCTGTTTGTTGTCAGTGTCATGACGGAGCGTCGTTGCAGTCTTCCCCTGTAGTTTAACTAGTTAGCGGTTTGACATCATCGTGGAGTCGAAACATCAACGTCAGCGTCAACAACCTCCGAGTAGTTCGCTCAACCTCGTAACTTCATCATCAGCACCAACAACTGGAAGAATAAGAAGAATAAGAAGAACAAACGCTCGTGGTTTTCATGCCCACCGTCGGAAACCTCGTTCACCGGGCAAGTATATTTGGCATCTTTGCCTTTGCCCTGATCGTCTATCTCACCACCAGGTCGCCGTGGACGCCCTTCACCGAGAACTGCTCCGACTGCTCATCGCCCGCCATGGACGACCAGCTCTCCTTCATCCAGATCTCCATCTGTCCCGGCCGTGAAACCGTGGCAAAGGACGAAGAGCTCAAGCTCAAGGTGACCGTCACCAACACCGCCGACTCCCAGGCAACGCTCCTCACCTGGAACACCGTCTTCGACACGCTCGCACCCTCGCTCGGTGTCTTCACGATCCGCGACCTCACTGACGACACGGACGTGGAACAGAACATCATGATGGTCCGTCGTCAGATGCCGGCTCGCGAGCGCGACCTTGTCGAGCTGGGCCCCAAGCAGTCAACCGAGACCAGCGTCGTCTTCAGCAACCTCGAGCTCACCTCCGGCCACAAGTACTCGGTCCAGGCCAGCGGCTTCTGGCAAACCGTCTGGACCAAGCCCAAGTCAGAGGTCGTCTCGCACCATCTCGACCTCTCCGGCGGGATGAACGGGGACTTTTCCTCCAACGTCGTCGAGTTCTCCAAGGTAAGTCCTCTCAAGGGGAGTCTCTCTTGATATGCGAAATAAATAGCTGGACTCGCACTGACTTGCCGTAGGAGTGATCTGGACTACGCCCGGCCCATCCGTCGACAGCCTGTTCTCCAGTCAGCGTACACGGGTTTGATGCGCTTTCTTCATATCTTCTTGTCTATATATGTTAGTACCTGTATATAGTTACCACTATTCCATACACCACGATAACCACAGAATGTCAGCCAACTTCTAAAGCCTCGCGGCTCCGTCTTTAGTGCCTTGGCCGTGTAACTAGTTAAAGCAGCTTGCAGCAAAAGAAGACGAAGCAGCTCATGCAGACAAGGACAGAGCCGAGAGCAGAGTGGCTGAGGCCTGCAGTTCCCGTAGCTGACTCGACCTGTTTCCCGGCTTGCTGCTTATTATTATTAGTGACTCTGTCCTACTGGCTAGCCTGCGCCTTGCTCCGCTCGCTAACTAGTTAGTTAATTAGTTAGTTAATGTTAGTGTTAGTTGATGGTTAACTTCTCCCCCTGCGCTGCCTCGTCTTCCTCCATCACCAACAGTCACCACCACCACCAGAACAACAACAACCCGCCCATCGAGTCTCCGGCCATCTCGTCTTCTTTGGCACTCGCAGCTCGTTCACTTTTCTCTTTATCGTCGGCTTCAGTCATGGGTGTAAGTCCCCTTCCAGCCCCCGAGTGCTGTGTGTTTGCGCCACTTGAATGCCCCGCCATATATAACTATGCGACCCCTCCAAGGCTCCAGCGTTCAGCAGCATCACAACAGCCCGTTATCTCATCCATATTTACCCGGTCTCTTGCGATTATTTACTGACCCGACGGCCTGCTTGCCTCTCTTGCCTTGTAGCTCGCCTCGAAAATGGCTGCTGCCAACCAGGGCGCGCCCTCCTCCTATCCCGGCGGCCCCCCTCCTCCAGGCGGCGGCGGCGGCCCAGCATACGTATGTTCATACACCGTCTACTGTAGTTATATCCGGAGGAAGCATGAGAATACAGAAGCGAATTCTGAGCCTCTTTCTCTCTCCTTGGTGCTTGACGAGAAAACCGCCGGCTGACTTCTCTTCTGTTTACTAGCCCGGACAGCAACAGTACCAGGCCTACCCCGGCCCTGGCGGCCCTGGCGGCCCTCCGCCACCCCAAGTAAGCGACCCCGTTTGACACACAGCTCCTGCTCCTCCTCTTCCTGCTTTCTTCAGGCAACATTGCATTAAAGAACCTCTGTCCGCCGTTATTTCACCCGCTATCTGCACCTGTTCTCTGTTGTCGTTGTCGTTTTGTGCTTCTTTTGGTTCCTGTTCCACTGTTTGCTTGTGACGTCATAACTATGGCTTGTTTCTCGGACCAAGTAACAAATCTCTATAACTATGCTTTTGATCGCGAGCCAATTGCAAAAGAAAAGGCCTTTGCTGGCCTGGCTCATGACCATAGCAATCAATCCGAACTCCCATAATCGTGCCTAACGCGAAGATGCTCTCAGGCCAGTCCTCAGCCTCAAGCTCCTCCTTGGAGTGCCTCGCCTCCGCCGCAGAGCGGAACTCCAAATCCTTACTATAGGAACCAGCAGCAATCTCCCCAGCCCCATCAACAACATAATGCCTATGGCCAGCAGCCTGTCTATGGCCAGCCGCAGCCTTATGGCCAGCAGCCCGGATATGGACAGCAACAGCCACCATATGGACAGCAACAGCCACCATATGGACAACAGCAACAGCCTTATGGACAACAACAACAACAACACCAACCCTATGGAGCACCGCCGCAGCAACCAGCCTACGGGCAGCAATACCCTCCCAACCAGGCTCAATACGTTCGTTTTTTTTCTCTTCTAGAGTGTTTTTCCTTTGTTCAGTCTCGTTTTCTAGCGTCCTCGCTTCCCTTGCTCTCTTCCTTATCTTCTGGTTTATTTCAATGTGTTCATTACCTTAACCATCGTTCTTCTTTTTGTAGGGACAAGGACCACCCGGCCAGTTCCGTCAAGGTCAGCCTGGGTACCCTCCTCAGGGAGGCCCCGGTTACCCTCCCCAAGGCGGTGCACCTGGCTACCCCCCAGGGCCACAAGGAGGCCAGCAGTTCAATGCTCCCCCAACTCCACAGCAGCAGGCAGCCTACAAGCAGGTCCTTCAAAGCTGTATCAACGAGAAGAATCTCCAAGGAATGTACCCGCCAAACTCTCCTATTCTTGATCAGATAGTGAGCAAAATCAGCGGCCAGGTGGATCAGCTCTGTGCCACCTGGCGAGTTCCCCGCGAGGTTGGCCAAGATGTTGTCAAGCTTGCGCTCTTCGATGTTATCCTCTACATCGACGACAGCGGCTCTATGCAGTTTGAGGAGAATGGTGAACGTATAAAGGACCTCAAGCTTATTCTTTCTCGCGTCACATACGCCGCCTCTTTGTTCGACGACGATGGTATCCAGGTTCGCTTCATGAACTCCAATGAACAGGGTAACAACATCCATAATGAAGGACAAGTCGAGGCCCTTATGCAGCGCATGCAGTTCAAGGGTCTTACCCCCATGGGAACCAGCTTGAAGAACAAGGTTCTAGAGCCCCTCGTCCTGGCTCCTGCCAGAGCTGGCCAGCTCAAAAAGCCAGTCTTGGTCATCACGATCACAGACGGTCAGCCTGCTGGTGAAGCCCAGGGAGCTGTGTTCGATGCCATCCGCAATGCAACCCAGGAGCTCCAGTCTAACCCAAGATATGGTCGTGGAGCTGTCTCCTTCCAGTTTGCTCAAGTCGGCAATGACCTGAAAGCCAGAGAGTTCTTGTCTAAGCTCGACGAAGAGCCTGGTATTGGTGAACTTGTCGACTGTACTTCCAGTATGTCCTTGACTCCTTATCGGTAAAATTCTCCCTTTTCGAAGACCTATACTAATAATTTCTTTAAGACTTTGAGGTTGAACAGGACGAGATGTCTCGCGCCAACCCACCAGTTGACTTGACCCCTGAGCTCTGGGTAGGTTATACCCATCTGCGTCATGCGAGTGCTTTCAAAAAAAATGCTAACTTTTATCCTTAAAAATAGCTTGCGAAGATGTTGCTTGGTGCCATTGACTCATCCTACGACACCAAGGACGAGAAAACCCAGCGGGCCCCTGGAGGAGCACCACCACCGGGCCAGTACAACGCACCACCGCAAGGACAGTACGGCGGATATGGCCAGCAGCCTCCCCCGCAGGGTGGATATCCCAGCGGCGGCTACAACCAGCCACCACCACCAGGCGGTTATGGGCAACCACCACAGCAGGGCGGCTACGGTCGTCCTCCGCCTGGCCCTCCCCAGGGCGGGCCGGGTTACCCCCCACAGGGCGGATACGGCGCACCTCCACCCGGTGGCCGTTACTAGACAAACCCGGACCGTGTGTTAACTTCTCTTCAGATGAAGGTCTTTTTAGTCGCCTATTGTATTTCTTAATACGGCCTGTGGCCCTTTTCATGTACTTTGCACCTGGAACTATTTTTCTTAATCTACTTTCACGAGCGCAGAAAGAAATCGTTCGGTCTGCGCGCCAAGGGCGGAAAAAGGGAAATCTGCTACTAGAAGACCAGAAATGCAAAACAGAATGCTCTTTTATCCTTTTGCTGCCCAGGGAGGAGAGCCCTTCCCCCCCCCTCTCTCGCTCACAGTAGAATTAGAACAAAGAGACGGCCCGCATCTGGCGCTAAACTCGGCGCTTCACGCGCTACTTATGCGCCGAGAGCCGTTCCTGTCCTGCCATTGGCTGTGCTAGCGGAAGCCCCCGCTTTCACCCCCTGGGGGCCCGCAGTCACGTGCATGTCATGTGCAGCCTCTGTGGGCGCCCAGCCGAGGCCGCGGGCGGCGCATCCTGCCAGTTACGTCAGTCGGTTTGCTTTTTCTTCTCTTCTCATCCTCCCGCCGTCCACTGTCTTGTTTCACACGAAGCAGAGCGCCAGAAGACGAGCGACGGTGACGCTGACGACGACGAGGAGCACCGGCTGCGATCGACGACAGGAGGGTTCAGACCGTTGCAGTTGCAGCAACGCTACTTGAGGCATGCAGGCGGCCGTGGCAGCCCTCCGCTGCGCTGACCCTCGATTCGCGACTGCTTGCGGTAGTTAGAAATAGAAAAAGCCTTCCCGCCAAATGGAGAGGCGTCCTACCATATCATAGGACGAGCCCACCACATAGCGTTTTACCAAGTGATTCGACAGCCCGGTGTTCTTTTTTTAATTTTTTTTTTTTTTTTTT